GTTCCCATCAATGGAGATACAATACAAAATAACTGCGCATTGAAATACCGTTGATCAGCTGAATATGCGTCAGTAATTTATTTCCTTTCCCTCTATTGTTTTTGATATTATGTATAGTCTGAATGTAACGAGGCGACTGAACTACTACATCCGACTACTTGTTCTGTCTGGGGATTTCCCTGACTGGCGCGGTAATGCACTGCTTGTATCAGATCCTTTGATTTCCCCTTGTGCGTTACCTTCGTGACAGCAGAAAGAGTTTGTTTCACGACCGTACTTTTTGTTGTATTTAATGTGTATTTGTTTACATTGTTTATACCTGTATGTGTGTGTCTGTGTGTGTGCCCACACACAAACTTCGTGCGCGATAATTAGACACATCAAGCAGAATATCAGAGGACACAGAACTGGGAAAAGATGAAAGAGCATCTTAACAAAAACATCGATAAAACAGGCATGTGCAGACTAATCAATGCAAAACTATATGAAATGAAAGACAGCGGTACTAAAATGGAATTGAATGATTAAGAAACATCATAAGAAATTCTTTAAAAAAAAATACAACAACCTTTTCCTTTGTTTACCGGCTTTAAGTTCTGATTGCTCGTATATTAGGACTTTGTGTGGGGCTCACACTAAACTCAGGTTTTCTCTGCACACCCGTTTTACTGGCTTATTTGTGCACAACTGGTTGTTCCTTGCAGCTCCAGCAGATGCACTCTGACTTCGAAGGAAGCCTCTAATTAGTCAATTGCTACGACATGCTTGTTGGGGACGCAGTGTGTCTATTCTTGTTTTCCCCACAAGGAGGTTCTGGAGAGAAAAACACACACTACATGATGAAGAAGACAATGCTCAATCAATTCTCGTTTTCTTTTATCTAGTGAACAGACAATGTATTGATCAGCATTCATAGAAAGAAGTAGAAATATAAAAGGACTAAACAACATAAAAATCGAAAGCAAGTTAACGAGCCGGAATCGAACGTTCCACCTCCAAATGGCGTGTGCCCCTCCCTATGAAAACAAGTGTATTAAGAACATGACCAAATAGGCACCCCCACAAATGCAGCTTCATGGGTTCCCCCTCTGTTTATTATTTTCATTTAGTTTGTTGTCATGAATTGTCATAAAAGGGATTACATTGCACTGTTTTGACAGACATGTCTTTCAGTGACTACACAACATAATTGCAAGCATTCCTCTTTAGGCTGGCCTGTCTAAGGTTTGACTCTTTAGGCTGGCCTGTCTAAGGTTTGACTCTTTAGGCTGGTCTGTCTAAGGTTTGACTCTTTAGGCTGGCCTGTCTAAGGTTTGACTCTTTCGGCTGGCCTGTCTAAGGTTTGACTCTTTAGGCTGGCCTGTCTAAGGTTTGACTCTTTAGGCTGGCCTGTCTAAGGTTTGACTCTTTAGGCTGGCCTGTCTAAGGTTTGACTCTTTAGGCTGGCCTGTCTAAGGTTTGACTCTTTAGACTGGCCTGTCTAAGGTTTGACTCTTTAGGCTGGCCTGTCTAAGGTTTAACTCTTTAGGCTGGCCTGTCTAAGGTTTGACTCTTTAGGCTGGCCTGTCTAAGGTTTGACTCTTTAGGCTGGCTTGTCTAAGGTTTGACTCTTTAGGCTGGCCTGGCTAAGGTTTGACTCTTTCGGCTGGCCTGTCTAAGGTTTGACTCTTTAGGCTGGCCTGGCTAAGGTTTGACTCTTTCGGCTGGCCTGTCTAAGGTTTGACTCTTTAGGCTGGCCTGGCTAAGGTTTGACTCTTTCGGCTGGCCTGTCTAAGGTTTGACTCTTTCGGCTGGCCTGTCTAAGATTTGACTCTTTAGGCTGGTCTGTCTAAAGTTTGACTCTTTAGGCTGGCCTGTCTGAGGTTTGACTCTTTAGGCTGGCCTGTCTAAGGTTTGACTCTTTAGACTGGCCTGTCTAAGGTTTGACTCTTTAGGCTGGCCTGTCTAAGGTTTGACTCTTTAGGCTGGCCTGTCTAAGGTTTGACTCTTTAGGCTGGCCTGTCTAAGGTTTGACTCTTTAGGCTGGCCTGTCTAAGGTTTGACTCTTTAGGCTGACCTGTCTAAGGTTTGACTCTTTAGGCTGGCCTGTCTAATGTTTAACCCTTTCAAGTCTGCAAGCAGAACAAGTCAGGTTTCTGTCCCCAAGCACTTTTCAAAACCTTTCAGACTAAGAAAAGAGGAAACAATGATAAGCTATCTCTCTGTCTCCCCCTGTATCTTCTCTCTCTCTCTCTCTCTCTTTCTCTCTCTCTCTCTCTCACTCATAAAACACTCATGCGCGCTCACAAGATCGAGCTAAAACAGCGGAGTAGTGACATCATTGGAAGCTTATAACACACATTCACATTCGCATATTAGCTCTCGTATATCGTATACACACTGTCCGTTATCAGATCTCTCCCCCCCTCCCCCACCCAATCACTCTCACTCCTACAACACTCAGGCGCGTGGATTAGTCGCAGCAGAGTATATCGACCGTAGATGTGAATTCTGAATGACTTGATCTTAAAGTTCACGTTTTCTAGCAAGGAACGATTGAGACAGTCCCATAGTAAGGTTCCTTTCTTGTCAGAGTGTAGATAGGTGGCTGCAAGAGAAATCGATACACGGCTTTTAGCTGTAGTTAAAGGTCACTTTTAGTTGCACATGGATTTCTTCATAAGTTATCCAGTCTCCCCCCCCCTCTCTCTCTCTCTCTCTCTCTCTCTCTCTCTCTCTCTCTGTCCAATCATTCATCTTTCATATTTTACAATCACACAAGGGGAATTTCATCACCATGGAAAAACACATTAGTGCTAACGAAGATCCAAATACGAGTATACTGAATCACATGTATAATAATACTTTCTATTTGTTAAATATCATTCATACAAACATATACACACACACCACACGCATACGCGTGCGCGCGTACACACACACCACCTGCACACGTGCGCGCGCACACACACACCACCTGCACGCACACAAACTTGCGTCTATCGGAATAAAGATGATGTAACTTTTCTCTCCCAAGTTGGTACCAAAGTACATTGCTATTGCATGTCTCCTGGTCCCGTTTGTTTCACGTGCGGCGATCTCAAGGACAGAACAGGACACAGTACCTCAGGAAGAAAACAACCACATGGGATAATAAGAGTATAGCTACACTTACATCTGACAAGATTATAACCAGAGGACAGGAACGCGGACACGAAAAGCGGAACTCCCTGAACGACCACAGGACTAGAATGGAGGACTGACATGTTCGAACTGACAACATCCAACAGCCAGGGTCAATAAGCCACAAAACTTGACACAACAAATATATTAAGTCTCAAGGCTTAGCGCAGATAAAACCAGATCACAATTATAATTAAAGCTATTCTCAGCCGGGTTGAAAGTCAATTTTATTTTCTCCACAAAACTAGCAACTATGGTGTATAAGACGGGTAGCAGAACCAGGCTCAGCATTTTTTTTTACTGTTGTTGTTTTTCTAAGCAAATTCTTCGTTCAGTAGTTTGTAAGATTTGCACTGCAACATAAAATCAACGGCGTGACATAAAAATATGTATTCAGACAATGTTACAGTACCAGTATATATAAAGTAAGGGAGAACCGGTATCGCACCATTGGCGAAGGAGTCGCTTATCAGTTCGCCGATGGGTGAATCGGTGGCCGGTAAGTGGTTAGAGGAGGAAGGGTACAAGTAGCCTTTTTCGGCCTAGGTACACCGTGATTAGCCGTTCTTTCATGCTTGCTGCCTTTTTCAAGCGCGACTCTCTGTTACTGGGGTGTCCGATTGTTTTGTTTTCGAGGCTGACAGTGGCGACTACGTCTGCTCTATATTACACGACGTGACCTCTTTTAACGACCCCAGAAGATCTGGTCTAACCCCGGCGGCACCCCTCCCCCTACCACGCCACCAATTACACAGCCTTTATCTACGTCCCATGAGAGACTGATGTATATGTCCTGTTGTTTCAGAGCTGTTAGCATTATGCGGTCAGCTCTCCTTGTCGGTCGTCAACGCTGACAACTGAAGTAAATTAATGTCGTATATATGTTTATTTGTTTTAATATCCAGAAGCCATGACTTGTTAACCCTTAGGCTCTGTAGTGAACCCGGACCACGAGGAGTTCGTCACCCGGTCACCGCGCAATGTGGTTTAGCCAACTACGCTAGAGAGCCGGGCCATGTCGTATATATAGGTGGAACATCATTCATCTGATGCCTCGAAAAGGCCATTAGCTTGTTATCTGTGTGCAACCAAGATTACAGCCAAGGGATCTTGCCGAAGCACAGCACTCAGGGGAGGACGAGACAGATATAGAATCAGGGTGTTGAGTCTGGGCAACCCCTAGTATCAACAGTCATAAGGTAAAGACAGAAGATTGTGCTGCACTGGACACATCCTGAGAAGCAACAAACAGAGAATTACCAAACAGGCAATAAAACGGGAAATAAAGGGCTTAAAGAAGCGAGGACACCCACAAGAAACCCTACGACAGATGTTGATGAGAGAGACCAAAGCTGCTATTCTGGATTTTATTCATAACACTGAACTGATTGCACACGAATGGACGGAGTGAATGAATGGACTGCAATCCCTATGGGACAAATAACAGCATAATGAATGAATGAATAAATGAATGAATAAATGTTACTGTACAATCGGAATTCGAAGTCTGTTATTGCTGCTAAAGATGAGGACGGAGCGCTTATGGGAATGTCCTGGGTGCTATGATGTTGATTTTTAACTCATAACTTGTTAATTTTACACATTGATTTACTGGGAGAAGTTCTTTGTCTGTGACATATATGTTTTTATCTTTAATTATTTATTCAGAAAGGCCATCAGTGTATACACATTTTCCCGACTTGTAATATTAACACTTAACCGATTCGAGAATTCCAAGAAAACAAAAACAAACAGAGACGGTGCATAGCCACAGTATACCCCACTGACAATTTAACTGTCATTATAACCATAATCTTCTCCTGCCAGTCATTTAAGCCATGTCGTGTGGAGCTGTCATCGGTCTGGTTTTTCTGGTCATCACCAACTTGGCGGTGATCATCGCCTTTGTGACACCCTACTGGGTGGAGTTCAGGGCACACCGGAACCAGGGTCTCCTCGCTTACTGCCAGTCCGACTCCTGCACGTGGGTCTTTGAAGATCAGTACAGGTCCCTGTCCAGCTTTGACGTCACTTCAGGTCAGTTGAAAAAGTTGTTTGTATAATGTTTGTGAACTATCAGGTTCTTTCCTTTCTACCAGGTGTCCTTAAAGTTTCCTCTCATAGGAACAATAAAAGGTGTCGGCAACATTATTACAAGAAGCATAATTCCAGCTGTGCTTATTCCCTTATTCGCAAATGTACTACTAAAAAATACACATAAGCAGACGGAGGTGTGAACCTGTGGAAAGGTGCTCCAGACAGCAGAGCATGTACTCCAGGACTGCACTGAATTTGACACATTAAGGCAAACCTTTTGGCCAGAAAGAACAACAGTGGAACGTAAACTCTATGGACCACTCAATGAACTAACAACGACAGTGAAATTTATGAGACAAAACTGCTGATATAGACAACTTATTTTGGGCGAACGAAAGAAGAAGGAGAAGAAGAAACGAAGAAGAAGAAGAAGAAGGAGAAGAAGAAACGAAGAAGAAGAAGAAGAAGAAGGAGAAGAAGAAACGAAGAAGAAGGAGAAGAAGAAACGAAGAAGAAGAAGAAGAAGAAGAAGAAGAAGGAGAAGAAGAAACGAAGAAGAAGAAGAAGAAGGAGAAGAAGAAACGAAGAAGAAGAAGAAGGAGAAGAAGAAACGAAGAAGAAGAAACGAAGAAGAAGAAGAAGAAGGAGAAGAAGAAACGAAGAAGAAGAAGAAGAAGAAGAAGAAGAAAAAGAAGATTGTTTGTTGTTTGTTTTAGTATCCAGAAGCCATGAGTTGTTAACCCTTATGCTCGGTATTATGGATATCGCAACTTTTCGGCCTTGATTCTATTGTAAATACCGTAAATCTGGGAGAACATGTGTCGTTTCTGCCTACCCCCGGGAGTAAACCCGGACCACAAGTAGTTCGTCACCCGCTCACCGCGCAATCCGGTTTAGCCAACTACGCTAGAGAGCCGGGCGAAGAAGGAGATAGCAACCAGGACGTCAGCAAGAAACTACAACAAACTGATTTTTTTTCCCAGCATGAAGTGATTTTTCTGTTGCTTTGCCGTCTGCAAGATCCTTGCCGATGCTGTGGAGCTATGTGCATTGCGCTGAGTTCCTCGTGTGTAAGCGTCAAGTGTCATGTGTGCCAGAAGCGAAGTACGTGGTCTTTCACGGCAAGAACTAAAGGAAGAGTCATCAAAGAAGCCAGCGGAGTTTTTGCTTCTCCCAGCTGCAGCATAACAATGGAGGTCAATGAGAGAGCAGACACCCTCGTTGGCAGTGTGACTACAGGATTTTGCCATCTATGGACCAACGCCATTAGAGACACTAAACGCTGTGAGACTTTCAGTCTCGTGGAAAGTGATTTTTCATTAAAAAGACTGCATACCCTGGCTGTACCAACTAGGGCAGCGAGACAGGAAAACCATGTGGGAGCCACCCATCGTTACATGAACCAGAACAGAATGGGAGTTATTAGTCTAAAAACACTTTGAGACATACTCAGGTGTAGATTGGTTCCCTTATGGTCATGTCCGATGTGCAGCGAAGATGATCGTTAAATGAACAACGAACAATGAACACACAAGCACAGCTGGAGTTTTATAATGACGTTCATTATATGTTTATTTTTCTTGTGTTTGAGAACCTATAAAACACCTGGTATATCCAAGGGTGCCGGAACCTGTTGGCTCAGTCTGATGAGCTCCCCCCCCCCCCCCCCCCCAGCAATTTTAGTAGGGCTGTCAAAGAAATCAGAGAAATGTCTAGGCAACCTTTGGTAACAAGAGGACAAGTAAGAAAAAAAAAAGGGTGCCTTTACCAAGCCTTTAGGCATATAGGGCTAGACCTATATTTTATAGACAAATCGGCACAGGATGGGTGATGTGGTCAGCATCACGCCGGCCGCCTTTACTTCCCGGGACTGCATCCGGTACCCACTCAAGGCTGGGTCAACCTTTGAGTCAAAGTCATTTTTGAAAAAAGTCCAGCTCCGCCAGGGAGCAATCACGTCACGACGCAAGCGTCTAGTCGCTACGCCACACAGACTCCCGCTGGTAACAATAGGTATAAGAAAAGGAGGATGGCGTTATACTGGACTCATCCTGAAAAGAAACCAGCAGAGAATCGCCAGGCAGGCACTAAAATATGAAGTAAAAGAACCGAGGAAGCAAAAATGTCCACAAGAAACCATAAAATAAACGTTGATGAGAGAGGCCAAAGCTGCTGGAGTGAACTCCATCCAGAATATTGAAAGTATTGTCACGTTGTGCCACTGGTAAAGAGGAGTATCCTCCCCTTCTCCTCCAAAAAATGTTTTAATGGCCAACTTGACATATATAGACGTTCTCTGTTAAAGAATTTGAGCCCGACTCTCTAGCGTAGTTGGCTAAACCGGATTGCGCGGTGACCGGCTGACGAACTCCTTGTGGTTCGGGTTCACTCCCGGGGGTAGGCAGAAAAGCCACATTTCTCCCAGATTTACCGTATTTACAATGGTATCAAGGCCGAAGGGTTGCGATATCCATAATACCGAGCCTAAGGGATGACTTCTGGATACTAAAACAAACAACCAAACAAACAAGTATTTGTTGACACATTTCATTCTGTTTATACGTCGCTGTCTTTATTTGGTGGTTAATCAGTGAATTATCAGGTGGTGTTATTTATATCCACATTGTTTAGTTCTCAATATTTTAGCGTTAAGCTAAAGTTACCTAAGTGGTTTTGGCGATGTTCACGTAAGTGCATTTTTTGAGGCTATTAGGTATCAATTTACAATATTCCTATCCAAAAAAATCAGAATGTAATTTTTTACTTTTTTCTAAACTCTGGCGTGCCAACTCAGAGAAAACATGGGAGTTGAGCAGCTCCTCAACCACACCCGAACGCATTTTATCTCCCTACCCCACATATGGGGGGGGGGGGGAATTATGGTTAATAACAAAAAAAAAAGGAGGGGGAGGGTGGGGAAGATGTAAGGGACCTAATGCCCATTGGACATTTGGCGTTAGTTAGAACACGGCCTTCTCTATTTATAGGCCAAACAGGTCAACGGGGATTCCTGTTCTTGTGCAAAAATGGAGTCCCTCTGCGTCCACAGTTTTTATCGAGGAGATGTATACAAAAATTAAACTAGTTTCATTAATTTTCGACATATTTTATAGAACTATACGTAATTTTTAAGGTAAATAAGTGTGCTATTTAAATATAACAATAAAGGCTCTTACAGAGAAACAAAAATGCTTTTGCTGCAGTCAACATGAACATAAACATCAATAACGTTTGGATATAAACTGCAAGTTATTCCAGCAAAAGTAAAGAAATATCAGTGCTAACTCTTTGATTCTGATATACAGACGGATCTGGTTAGAACTACAGTTTCACATACACGATCGGCGCTGGTTGGATGATATCAAAATTACGAACAATTACCCCCTACCCATTTTAAGCTGGGTCGGCGTGGGAGCCAACATCAATTTTAAGAGCCAAAAAAAAAAGGCCTGCCTGGATGTGAATTTGAACTTTAGTAGATCTTGTGGGTGGCAGGCTAGCCTCCGCCTGCTTCACTAGCGCGGCTGCCAAAAACTCTGCATAATGTATTAAACAGAATATCCGACAACAAGTATGACAGCATTCTCTTGTCATTGATAGTTAAAAGAGGTGTAAATCAAATTTATTGTACCAGGTTTATCCCTCATGGTCCCATCTCTATTTCCTTAGGCTATTATCCGCTAATAGTGTGCATCAATTATGAATTCCTCAGTTCCTGCAACGACTCCTATTTGTATCTAGCAGTGGAGGAGGGGGAAGGAAGCACACAACCTTATTCTTCACCCTTTTGATGGAACCAGACACCAAAATCAGCACCTTCCGAGTATGAGGCAAACAGCGGAGTTCCTACGCTATGGTCTCCATCTTTAATAGTTAATGAACATGTAACCAGTGTTGCCACTTTTTGGGGACAAAAAACTTCTAAAACGGAGTCAAAAAATATCTACAAACATCTCAATTTGCGTGGAAAACATCTAGACAAAACATCCAAATGGAAAGAGTCACAAATTACATAGCAAGTGATATGACTTACCCTATAGAATCATGTCCTCATCTTTACTGAAGTCCGCCTTTCAAGATCCACAGCATAAACTTAGCTTAGATAATTAAGTTGAAGCTTCAGATCCAAAATGACTCTGTTATGTTCCAATTTCTTTTAATATCCAATCAGGGAGCTATAAATGGAACAGCCCTTTCCTACTCTTATCAGGTCAATTTTTATTGTCAAAATAGCATTTAAGAGGTCAAATTTCATCCCGTTCCTTAGGTTAGATTTGATAAATTTACTCCAAATAAAAAACATCTAGAAAAACCTCTACCACCTAAACGTCAAAAACGCCATCTAAATGCAAGGGAAAACATCTAAATCTGGATGTAAAACATCCAAAGTGGCAACACTGCATGTAACTGTTGATGGAATTGAAAATTTAAAAAAACAATAACTATTTTGTTTCGTTTCTTTCAGAGTGGTGGATTGCAACAATAGCGCTGGTGAGCTTTGGCTTTGTGCTTTGTATAAAGGCCTTACTGCTAGCAACTATAGCTTTGTGCTGTGACTGCAGGGGCTGTAATGCTAGTCATGCGATCGGCGGAATACTCCTTCTAGCCTGTAAGTGACTCGTTTTCTATTTTATCCTTTCAAATTATTCTATTTCTTTTGGGATTATAAGTACATCTGGTTCTTTAATTTTATACGACTAAATCTGGTCGGCTTTGAAATTTGGTAGGGAAATCCCCAGGACGTTCCATGGTATAGGGGCGTTGGGGTTAGGCTTAGTAGTAGTCGCTATTAATTAACCACTAGGCCTAACCTTAACACCCCCTCCCCTTTCCCTCTCATAATATGGTATTGTCCAGGAAAACCCCTGGGGATCCCTGGGAATTCCTTATAAAATCTTAAAGTCGACGAGATTTAGTAGTATACAAATAAAGTACCGTACATTTTCATTCTTACATTCATGATCCTTTTGTTGTAGCTCATAGTGGTCAGAAATGTAGGGTCTCCTTTGTGTTGTTGGATTCAAGGGCGTAGATTCTTGGACAAGAAATTGAATATTGCTACTATTTAAAATGTTGCCATGACACTTACTCAACTTGTAAATGTCTAATGTGACTTTTACTTTTACATTTAAACTCTTCGTCCTCCGTCTTTCATCTGCCTGTGAGTCTTTCTGAATCGCGTTACTTGTTTATTGAGCTCTCTCTCTCTCTCTCTCTCTCTCTCTCTCTCTCTCTCTCTCTCTCTCTGTGTCTCTTTGAACTTCTTGTACATATGGCGGCGGAGTCTGTTGTGTCCAGTTCTATCTATCTGTTGGCCTGGCTTGCTAGCGTAGTTGGTTAAACCTGACTTAGCGGCGACCGGGTGATGAACATATTGCGGTTTGGGTTCACGCCAGGGGTAGGTAGATAAGCCACATTTCTCCCAGATTTACGGTATCTGTCATGGAATCAAAGCCCAAGGGTTGCGATATCCATAGTATCGAGCCAAAGGTACTAAAGAAAAGAAACATGGTTTATGGATATTTAAAGAAAAAATCGATCTATTGTTCTCCTCTGCCTAATGCTGTCAGGTGTTGCAGGCACGAGTAGTGATAGGTTTCCGGGATAGTAGACGCCCGTTAGCTTGCCGAATGGTGATATTTTTTAGTGTCAGCTAGTTGTTTACTCCATCTATTCATTTTCTTCTTGGCCTTCCTCTGCCGCTTGAAGTGTTCCAGTGGGTTCTAGTGATTGCTTTGATCTAGGTCCTTATTTTTTTCATAAGTGCACTCTCTGGAACCACTAGGTGAATAAAAGAATCTACTGCCTGTGATTGTGGAGCAGAAAGACAGACCCCTGGGCACATACTACAGTACTGCCCTTACCTCTCCCAGCAAAGACTGTGGATCTGGCCCAAGGAAGCCACATTGAAAGAGAAGCTATGGGGGTACCTTTGGCGACCTTAAACGCACAATCTTATTTGTGACCCAGACAAGACTCAGTGTTTAGCATGACTGATGTCGAACGCAGAAGAAGAAGGAGGAACTAGTGATGGTTAATTTTGATACGTGTAGACAGGCAGTGTCGTTATTGGGAACACAGCTGAAGGCTGAACAATCAGTAACTGAAAGACTTTGCCCCGATTGTCTAACATGATAATGAGAGGGTGCCTAACTCTTGCCCTGTGGCAGTGTGCACAGTTTGTAGTCCTCTTCAGACATTACCACAATACAGACCATTTTTGACCATGACATATTTATAAAACAGATACATATAGGGGTGTCATTTGCAGGTATACATAAATTTCGAGTGAACACAAAACCAGCAATCATGAAGTGGAAGGATGTAGAAACTATGTGACTCACAAATGCTGAAACATGATGATTATAGTGATTATGCTTTTGCTGCTGTTTGTGGTAGCGGTGATTATGATAATGAGGCTGCTGCTATTGAAGGTGATGGTATGATGCTGATGATAGTATGATACTGATGATGATATTATGATGATGATACTGATGGTGGAAACTGTGATGTTGATGCCTGATGTACCTATGATGAGAAAAGGGTGTCTTTTACTTAACTTTCTTTACTGATAGATGTGCTACTTATTTTACTTTACTGATATATGTGCTACTTAATTTACTTTACTGATATATGTGCTAATTATTTTACTTTACTGATATATGTGCTACTTAATTTACTTTACTGATATATGTGCTACTTAATTTACTTTACTGATATATGTGCTACTTAATTTACTTTACTGGTAGATGCGCTGCTTAATTTACTTTCTGATGGATTTACTTGTATCTTACATTAGTTTACACCTGCTCTTTTCTAACAGTTCTTTCGCTTGGAGTAGCTGCAACTGTGTTTGGAGTGTGTGCCAACAAATACCATGATGTGGATGTTGAGATGACCTCACTCATTGGAAGACGCTTTGGATGGTCATTCTGGCTCAACACAGGTGCAGCTGGGGCTGCTCTAATTACCTCATTTATTTACGTCATTCTTGGTCGCAGCAAGTCAGCTTAGTTGTTGGTTAACTCTTACCTTGCTGCAATTTCTGCTTCTGTTTGTTAATAGTTATTTTTATTTAAAAGATAAAGTCATATAATATCATGATGTTATGTTTTGACATTTTTGAACAGCGTTCATACAAAAAAAGGTAGACTATTTATAATTTTATTTTTTAAAGTAGTCAGCTGGGCTGCAAACAATTCTCACACTTAAGACCCCCACCGCCAACACTGCAAAAATAGTAAGTGCAGCCAGTATTGGCAGTTTTGAGTTTTTTTGGAAATATTTTTGTTTGAGAGTCATCCTTGCATGACAATTACAGTTCCGTTTACTTAAATACATTTTTATTTTTCACTGTTACATCTGTGTAACAAGTTATTTCAAATTCTTTGTAGCATTGGTACTTTATTCATATAATTTAGCACCTCCACCATATCTTGTTGATTTATTTTGTTTGGCTTTTCTTAAAAATAAATAACTTCACTGCTTAAAAGGTGAATAATTAAATATTTTTAGTTACTGAAACCTTGTAATATTTTACACTGTAAGCTTTGGCAAGCTATAAATCAAAAGTAGTGATTGTTATGGTTCAGATGGAAGAAAGATTAAGAATTATTTCAGACAGAAAAAAGGGTCCGTACATTCTGCTATTTTGACCCCCCTTCTGTCATATATTATTTAATTCCTACATAATAATAATAGTTAATAATAAATATCAGAGAGAGAGAGAGAGAGAGAGAGAGAGAGAGAGAGAGAGAGAGAGAGAGAGAGAGAGAGAGAGAGAGAGAGAGAGAGAGAGAGAGAGAGAGAGAGAAAGAGAGATGGAGCTATATTGTGTAAAACCATTGCAATGAAGTCAATTCTTTTACCTTTTAACATTATAAATACCTGGCTAAATGCAATAAATTTAGTTTCTTGGTGATCGTTGGCATTGAGGAACAATGTTGAGAGACTGTTCGCCCTTGGCAGTACCACATACAGCTGTCTATGTGAAAAGTACTTGTTAGTCAAATCCAAGCGTGTGACTTGTGGTGATAACCCCTGAGCCATATCACTTACACATAAAAAAAAAAAAAAAAGGTAATCAAGGGAAGTAACTGTAGTAAATGATAAAAGTGTTTGTGGTGTTAGTTTTCTGCCCAGCATAGAAATCTTGTTGAAAATAGCACATTTGATCTTTAAATGGCAGCCAGAATGACATGTGCACATTTCACATACATACTGTTTTATGTTTAGAATGAGTTCTAAAATTCTTCTACTTTTTCTTTCGTTTGTTATTTGTCACTTTTATGACATGCAAGCAAACCTAAAAGTCGCCCCCATGCGGGATGCACAGTCATAATAATATTCTTTACGTTCTTCTTAGGACGTAATTTTTTGTTATTTGAAGCCCCACTCTGGCTTTTGCCAGGGGCCGCAATATAGGCAGGCCATCGATATGGCCAATTGTCTGAACGCGGTTTCTGGGACCTCCCCCATGGTGATCTTCATCCGCATGATGGCACTTTGTGTCATCAGGTGTTTATCGCTTTTGTGATGTCCTGGTGGGGTAGAAAGTCAGTCACAGTCATAATCTTGCCAGTTTCGCTCTTTTTAGAACGAAATTTTTTGTTATTTTGAAGCCCCACCCTGGCTTTTGCCAGGGGCTGCAATATAGGCAGACCATAAATATGGCCAATTGTCTGAACGCGGTTTCTGGGACCTCTCCACGGCGATCCTCATCCACATGGTGGCACTTTGTGTCATCGGGTGTTTATCGCTTGTGTGATGTCCTAGTGGGGTAGAAAGTCAATCAGTCAGTCAAGCTTGACAAGCCATTCCTCTGTGGGATGCAATTTTTGGTTATTTGAAATTTTTTTTTTTTTTTTTTCTAATTTTGAAGCCTTACCCTGGCTCTTGCCAGGGGCCGCAATACATAAATATGGTCTAATAGCTGAGCGCAGTTTCCGGAACCTCTCCACGGTGATCCATATCCACATGGTGGTACTTTGTGTCATCGGGTGTTTATCGCTTGTGTGATGTCCTAGTGGGGTAAAATGTACTACTACTAATAGAATGCGCAATTTTAAGTTAATCAAAGTCATCTTCCTTTGGGATGCAATTTTTCGTAATTTGAAGCCCCACCCTGGCTTTTGCCAGATAATAGCCGAAAGGGGTTTCTGGAACCTCTTCACGGGTGATCGTCATCTGCATGGTGGCACTTTGTGTCACCAGGTGTTTAAAGCTTGTGTGATGTCCTGGTGGGGTACAACTACCTACCTACCCTACCTTTCGTTCGCTTGAAAAAGATTATCTATTTTTGCAATGATTTCTCTAGTATGAACTTCACTGTCTTTTGTAATTCACTCAGCGACCGGTAAAGTGTGACTTGCACCTTTGTATCTATTGGCCAAACTTTTGCCTTAAATTGTTGTATTTGGGACAGTCTTGAAGGACATGATCTGCTGTTTCAGGTGCCAATCCACATGTGCATATGGCTGATTCGAATTTTGTGTACATGTGGCTGCAAAGTAGATTGTATCCTGTTCTAAGGTGAAAAATAATAACTTGCTCTGGTCTGTTCATAAAATGGTAATAGTCTTGAACTGGTTTTGGTGGCTTTCTGGTCGATTTGATTATTCTCTTCTTTTGTTGATAAAAGACTGGTACATCATGTTGTTCTTCATTTGTACCTTTCTTAGCTAGTTTATCAGCTCTTTCACTTCCAGTTCTAAAATGAGACACATAGATTTTTTGCAGACATGCCCATGCATTGCAACAACCTCCCTCCTAATCAGCCCTATGTGGGTGATATTGATAATATGCTAGTTTTATTCAGAAATTTCCCCAAAATGAGACTCAGTTTTATTTTACTTTTAAGGACCACCCTGGCGCAATCAGGGGCCCTAATATAACGTATTGGTGGAGCAGGGTTTCTAGGAGCGATTCTCATCCAAACTGGGACACTTTATATCAGCCGGTGTATATCGCACATTGTGTGGTTTTGGTGGGGTTGAACTTCACTCATCATGCTAGCCACATTAGCTATGCTAGCCACATTGGCTATGCTAGCCACATTAGCTATGCTAGCCACATTAACTATGCTAGCCACATTAGCTTGGCTAGCCACATTAGCTTGTCAAAAGATTTCATGTTAACCAGTTTAGGCTGATTCAGCCCATGAGCCTGACTCATGGGTCAATAGAGATTTCATCATTTGTTTCCTATGACTGCAGCCAAGCTAGCAAGCCACCGAGTTACTGGGACACCAACTGAAGCTGAATTAATTAAAAAAAAAAGTGTATTATTTAACTCTTTGAGTTCCAAGGAAAGCATCATACGTTCATGGTTTCCTACCTAGAAGCCCAATGGCATGATGCGCCGATTTTATGACTTTATTTACTACCCCCTGGGCCTGTGATGCTAAACCCCCTGGGACTCAAAGAGTTAAAAGTCGAATAGGGAAATAAATGTATATATTATTGTTTGCACAATGAGAGCAAGTTAAGTAATCTGAACAGTCATTTACATAATGAATATGTATGACATCTGTATATACACTTATTGTGCTTTTGCAGTCATTAAAACAAAAACTTAACTGACAAGACAATCTTGCTTTCTCTTCTTGATATAATATGGTTTGCAAATTAGGGAAAACCAAATTGTTTGCTAGACTACATGTGAAAAGAAAAGACAGAACTTAAATAAACAACAGAATAAATACATTTTAAAGACAGCCTCGAATCTAGATCACTGATGCAGAGGTACCAGAATGTAGGGGTATCACAACAATTTTCTTAGTGCTCAGTCTTCAAAGGCTCAGTTAGGTAGGTCACAACAATTTTCTCAGTGTTCAGTCTTCAAAGGCTCAGATAGGTAGGTCACAACAATTTTCTCAGTGTTCAGTCTTCAAAGGCTCAGATAGGTAGGTCACACTTGAAGAATGGAGGATGGTAGAGTCTTTAAGGGCGTCCTCTACGGTGAGCTGCAGATGAGAAGAATATGTCAAGCTTGGCCTCAACTATGATATAAAAATGTGTGCAAGCAGAACGTAAATGATGATACAGGTGTTGATGTAGATTCACAGGAACAGAATGCCCTGAACTGTCTGCATGGAATAGGGGGAAAAGTGGGGAAGGGGGTCAGGAAGAAACAGGAATACAGAAGAAAAGTGTTGCAGATATGATGATACAGGTATTGATGTAGATTCACAGGAACAGAATGCCCTGAACTGTCTGCATGGAATAGGGGGAAAAGTGGGGAAGGGGGTCAGGAAGGAAACAGGAATACAGAAGAAAAGTGTTGCAGATATGATGATACAGGTATTGATGTAGATTCACAGGAACAGAATGCCCTGAACTGTCTGCATGGAATAGGGGGAAAAGTGGGGAAGGGGGTCAGGAAGAAACAGGAATACAGAAGAAAAGTGTTGCAGATATGATGATACAGGTATTGATGTAGATTCACAGGAACAGAATGCCCTGAACTGTCTGCATGGAATAGGGGGAAAAGTGGGGAAGGGGGTCAGGAAGGAAACAGGAATACAGAAGAAAAGTGTTGCAGATATGATGATACAGGTATTGATGTAGATTCACAGGAACAGAATGCCCTGAACTGTCTGCATGGAATAGGGGGAAAAGTGAGGAAGGGGGTCAGGAAGGAAACAGGAATACAGAAGAAAAGTGTTGCAGATATGTTAAGTGCTAAGTGTCTAACAACGGCCCTAAAATTACAAGCTCATATTGTGGAAGACTTGATCCTGATGTGAGCGGGTCATACTAGTCACACGTGCTATTGGTATGGGCTGTGATTTGCTCTATAAAACACAGAGTAACACTATTGTGTGAAATGACGGAGAGGTGTGAGCTGTAAGTCTAGATCATAGAAATAATAAGAAAACAGATCTGTTAATATTTTCTACATGTTGTGTGATGAGGAATTGATTTGCCTGCACAATCACCAATCTCTGTGTTACCTTTTGAGCTTGAACTTTGGCCCCTTTTTATTTCTGGATTTTGTGTTCACATTGACCACAT